AAGCACTCAACCATTGGTTTTACATAATAAACACAACTCTATTATAAACACTGTTTTCAATGGATTCAACGCTTTCTAGCGAAGAGTTTCAACGATTGCAGGTCTGTTTGGGATCAGCTCTTGAGCTAATGTTTGGGTTTTTGCCTCCCATTTGTTGCATATATTTGTTGTGCAATTTCCATGAATATATTTCGTTTGTATTTGTATTTTTGCATTCATTCATGTTTTTTGAAATATATTTTTTTGTTTCAAACTAAAGACACAGTTATTAGAGTTAAAGACAGACAACTACTCGTTGGCCGAAGAGAAACGAAGGGATCAATCGGTGATCGACGGACTCAGACAACGGGTCGAGACGTTGGAGAAGCAGTTATCCAGAGCTCAGACGGTCAACAAAATCAATCCGTTATCTTTGGCCCGAAATATCGCCAATAAAGTGGACCATAAGCTCCGGTCGGGCGCCGACACCAGTAGTGACCACTTGATCGCCGAGAATGAGCTATTGATTCGACGAATTGAGTCACAGGAACAGGAGTTTCGTGTGACCAACAATACACTCAAAGAGGAGATCCATTCTTTGGTCGCCACTAACCAATCACTGGAGGATCAGTTGAGAGGCATTGGCGCGAATCCGCCGATTGAATGCGATTTAGGACGGAGTGGTGATAATAGCGACGCCAACAACTCCGGCGGATTGGGAGACAGCGGTGGAGACCCGATGGCCGCCAATCACTTGTCGTTCGCCATTTTGGCCGAAAAGGAGAAGTTAGAGCTGAAGGTATACGACCTCCAGGAAGAGGTGAAGAATATGCAAAAGGAGAACCAATCGATGGTAACGCAAGTGGAAGAACTTCGAAGCCGTTGTCGAGACACTGAAAAACTACGACAAGAATTGAGCGATTCTTCGGATATGATTGAGAGACAGAACAGTCTTATCGAAGAAATGAGAGGACATAAGATGGAAATGGAGCTCAAATTTAAGGCCGATTGCGAGAAACTCCGGTCCGAACACCAGCTGAAAGTGGACGGACACGAGTCTCGGCTCAGGTGCAGCGGTGAGACGAATGACGCGCTCAGCGATCGAATCCGCGAACTAACGGATCAATTGAAGGAAATGGAAATAATAGACAAACAAAACGACAAATTGATTAACGAATTGGAGTCCTATAAAGAAGAGCTCAGTTTCTGTCGGACACAAAGCGAAGACACTGTCGAACGTCTCAATAGAGA